CCCAACTCATCAAGAAAAATGTCAAGGATTGGTCTAGGATGATTGCTCCATGCAAAATGTACTTTTATTGGGGACTTTTCAAGTTATACCCAGTGACAATCTATTTGCTATCATGCTATACTTCAGGCATTGTTTAAAAGACATCCCAAGTCTCCATCAATCAACTCAAAAGGATGGTAGCATTTTTTCTTCTTGCAGAAAAGAAGGACCAATGCTGTAGATACTTGTTTACTTCCAGAAAAACTCTGGAAATTAGCTTCTAAAGACATTATGCAATGTTCATTTTAACATTTCTACCTACCTTTTATATTATACACACTACCAACATTAATGAGGAGTCATTTTATCTCATTCCAACAAGTATATTGAGTGAAAAGTATATAAATTGAGATCAAGTTCAAATTTACCTTTTAGGGGAGGATATAAAATTTTCTAGCCCAAAGACTTAATGAAGCTCATAACAATAGCAGGGAGATCCAGTGTTCAAAATATCTCTTCCTCAAGTTGTGAATTGCTTCCAGTAGGTTGCAGCCATTCAGAATTTCCCATTTTGTCACATCCCATTTTTGGGAGTTATCACAGTCAATGCCCTGCTGTATCCTGAGTTTTTATCTGTTCATCCCCAGACTTGGTATATACAATCTACACCTCCTTAGCTATGTTTCATGCACCAGAGTTTAATCCTTAAAATGTTTGGTTCTTGTGTTATAACACCAACTTTGTCCAAAAAATCACGTGACATTACTTTTGATCAGTGAGTGTACGTTCCTATTGAATCCTTTGGTTTAAGGGCGGAACTTTCTTTCTTATATGACATTTTTCTTTCAGTTGTTCACTCAGGTGAGCTCTTACCTTGTCTACAGATTAATTCGCTAGTCAATGTAGACCCTAGGTTTTGCGACTTTATCTTGACACCTCCTTGCAATGCGTGTTCTTTTTTCCGATGTACATATATTCCAGTCTTTCAAACTTCTAAAGTTCCACAAGGTGATCTTGAAAAGAAACAAAAGTCATGGTGGCGCCTGTGAGGTAAAAGAGTATCAACATGTTGCTTATAATTCGAGAAAAGCCGGAGACCTGATGACTGCTCTATATACTATACACCGAGATGTGATTCCACATATTCCTCGGGCCGTAGCACAAAACATGGAACGCAGCGAAGATCGTGCAGCCAGAAATTCATCCCTTCTTTTTTGTACACAGCAGCGGTTTTGAAGCTGCCGCTGCGCCAACTTCACTACTTCCCTATTTTCGAGTAGATATAGTCTATGTTTTCCGACATCCATGCATCGTCTTGTGCTCCTTCCAACCATCCTTAAGACACTCGGAACCACAGAAGAACACCCTACCACGACATGAACCTAAACAGAAAGCACCATCAATTTCAAAAAAGGTAATAGAATAAAAGAGCACTGCGAACCTCCACATTTCCTCCAAGGCCCAGCATTCCCACACGCAAAACACCTTTGATAAGGACCAGCCTTGGCCGTCCTTATCTCCTCTTCCAAATCAACGGCATCAAAATGCCCACCAGGAACATCCAACCGGAGCTCCCACAAATCGCCAAAAGGCTTGGACACCACGTCCGGGCGGCAGGGTATAAAGTCGGAATTGACGTACCCTCCAAAGAGGTACATCTTCCCTGTGTCAGTGTCCGTCACCAATTGCGCCGTGCATCGGTATGTGGGAAAGCCGTGGGTGATGACTTGTCTCCATTTGGGCTGAGAGATTGCGGAGGCGGGTATTGGTGTGCTGGAGGAGATGGAAGATGGACGCGGTGTGGAGTGTTGTGAATTCGAGTCGGGGGATTCGTAGACGAAGGTGTCGGCGAGGTAGGCGAATTGGAAAGAGATGCTTTTTTCGCGGTAGACTGTTGTCATTGACGGGCTGTACCCGCCAAAAATCACCGCTTTATCTAACTTTTCGTTCTGTCGAAAAAAAGCAGGTGAGTTTTTGTAATTTCGAAGAAGAAGGGAAAAAAAGAAAAAGAAGGGGGCCATACATATGTAAAACCCATCTCCGTCCTCGAACAAGGATAATTCCCAGCAATCCGTTCAGGGCGCCACTTCTCCTCCCTCAAATCCCAGCTCCACATATCACGAAAACAAAACGCTTCTTCCTCTCCATGGGGCTCATTCCTCAATTGCCACCCCTGTCGATCAATATGTCCATAAAGCAAGAAAAACTTGGTCTTGTCCTTCGACACCCAACTCGCAGCATTCTTCCTCGGTCCGGGACATGAATAATCCCCGTCCTTGGGCCTCAACGCGTACCCGGATAACCTCCTCCACTTCCTCGTCTTCAAATCCAGCTCCATGAACAGGTTGATGCCGAGGTTGGTATCTTTATGACATCCCCCGAAAACGAGCAGTTTTCCAGAGACGATCTGCGAGGATTGACCCTCTATAAGGCCAATCCCCTGTAAGACCCACGCGGAGGTCGTCAGCTGTAGGCGAGAACGTCGTGGGCGTCCTGCCCCACTTCTCCGTGACGAGGTCGAAGTAGTCGATGACTTTCCGTCCAGTGAAGAGGTACGCTTTGTTTTCGTACACGATCATGTTCCAGCTGAGGAACATACCCGAAACAGATTTGGGGATAGGGTAGTCGGGGAGTTGACGCCATTCCCTAGAGCTGGGTTTTTGAGTTAGGTCTAAGCACCATAGATCGCGGTAGAAAGGTCCGAAAGAGTCTTTGCGTCCGCCGGCAATGTAAAAGTGGCCTTGAAATACATTAAGGTCAACCATGGAGGCGCGTCGGTTTACACGTACTTTTCCAAATGAACGCAGAATGGGCTGACCTCGCCAAAACCTTTCCCGGGAGAGGCTTGAACGAAACGCGCGCCCACGAGCCATACAACTGCAGCGCCGGGTCAGTTACACCGCTTTTATTGATGAGCTGAGGATCTGGATGACGAAGTTCGGACAGCTCAGCAATCTTCTCGGCGCTATTCATGGCTTTAACGGTCGGAGGATGGTGTCGTGGGGGCATGCTGATAAAGTTGGTACATGCCCTCCAGCGAAGGTTGAATGCGACGGCTGTGTTGCCCAGTTGGAGCGTGAGGTCGGAGGAGGTGGTTAGGGCTTTGACGCGTTGGAAGGTGAGTTCTGGGACGTCGAGGTTGTAGTTCATCCAGTCTGATAATCGCGTGGGTGAGCGTGTGGCCGAACAGAGATCTGGGTGGAGGGGAGGCGCGTACCATATAATGGCGTCGGGGAGGTGTAGTAGATGTTTAGGTAGACCACCTCGATCTCTTCATACCACATCAGAGCCTGAGTTTGATAGTTTCGATGAGATAAATTTAACAGGTATAAGAATCAAAAAAAAAAACGCACACTTTCGAAATCCTTCTCCCGCGCACAACACGCCGCAAGACCGTTGTAGCACGCGACCAAGTTCGACCGATTGAAAGGGTCTATGTCGATGTACTTCTTACACCGCACCCCTCCGCCTTTACTCCCTGAATAAGTTGGAATTTCGAGATCGTTTCCCAGCACCGATTTCGCGATCTTCCAATACGTGTTCTTCGCCTCTGTGTACTTTCCCCGATTGTAAAGTTCGTCGCCTTGCCGGCTGTGACGACGTAAGTTTTTTTGTGCAGAAAGAGCTGAAGCTTGAAAGTCCCGACCGACAGGGACATGCGTACCTAGTCATACTAACCTGCAGCATGAGCTGCATTGCCCTTTCGTTGGCTTGCATGGTAATAAGATGAGGAAAAGTAGGCCCTGGGAAGCTTGCACATTTCACAAATAACCGCAAATTGAACTATGCAATCAAAAGTGGCCCTATCTACTCAAGGACTATCTCATTCGATAGCAGCTAACAATCCGCATCGAACGGGTGTAACCTTTTTTGAAAAATCTCCTCAGGAAGCGTGGTAATGCCCTGTCTACAGATAGCATATTTCGAGGCCCCTTTGCCAGAAGAAAAAAAAAGAAAAAAGGTCATTATCTTGGGATTGAGAACGGCTATGGGGTAGGGGCCCGTTGGATAGACCTGGAGTGATGGGCTTCAGGCCTGAGAATCTGATACTTTGTATTAGAGAGCTTCTCGTGGTCTGGAAAAGTTCGAATGCATTGATATTGAGATCGGTGTTAGAGCGATCGCGAAGATGACGGACGACTTAAGCTTGCTCACAACCTGAGACCTGAATATTTGAATGAGCGCTACTTGCAATTATTGGTGAGGGCTAAAGCCAAAGGCCAAGTGTCTGAAGCATTCGTTCTGCGCAAATGGGCCGATGTGAGAAGCGTCGATCAGAGTTATTGGCCATAATGTATACGTACAATTAGTACCTACAAAATCTTACAAGAAAACAAGTTCATTTGCGTTCAGAGCTGCACACCATACTATCAATATAACAGCGTATTCATCTGTCCGCTCGTCTGCTCTGCCCACCCTAGCACCAAGAACAAGTCTACAACCCACCCCCACCAAGGATATACTCAATCGCAGAATCCACACGCCCCCCAGTCGCAAGCAACGCCCTTACATTCTGCGCCGCATTCGTGAACCCCATATCCTGAAGTTGCTGCAGCTGAACTTGGAATCTCTCCTCAGGCGGCCGCGTATCCGTCGGTACGGCAGGGGCACCACCACCCCCAAACCCACCCGCACCGTACCCACCACCAAATCCACCAGCGCCGCCCCCAAACCCACCACCGCTCAGGAGTTGCTGCATCAAAGCGGGGTCGGCAGCGAAGGGATTCCCACCTGCTCCCCCTGCTCCGCCGAACATCCCAAACGGATTGGCAGCTGGGGACGTTGTCGTCGTCGGGGATGTAGTGTTGGACGTTGTAGTGCTCGGTGTCGTCGAGCTGGCATTGGGGGTACCAGGCGCGGGGAAAGGTGCTGAAGGAGCGCCGAACATGCCCATGCCTCCACCCATTCCGGCACCGTTGAACATCTGAGCCATGCGCATCATTTGTTGGAGTTGTTCGGGGTTTGATCTGGGAATGGGCGTTAGTAAGGGAAAGTAGGACATGGGGAGGGTGGAAGGGGGAAGGAGAATCAAAAGGAGGGGTGCAAAGGGGGAAAAAATAGGCTACACAGTGGAAGCCAAACCATGACATTCCTCCAAACCCGAGCAAGTGCGTACTCGGCAAGAAGGGGCATGCAAAAGAAAAAAAATGACCGAGCACAAATCAAAGAAAACGAGTCGACGAAAAACTCACATCATATTCCTAAACTGCTCACTCTGCAACGTCTCCCTCACATGAGCGCCCATCCCCGCCATATTTGGGTTCATGGCGATAACTTGATCGACTATGGCCGGATTCTGCAACATCGTAGACATTTGCTGGAGGAACTCGGGTGAGTTCATGATCGTTTGCATCTACAATGCGCAATCAGTCAGTATGAATATAAGAAAACAGAGTCGAGCGCAAAAACACACACCATATTCGGGTCATTCGGATTCAACCCCATGTCACCAAACGGATTCAGCCCCGCCATCGCACCGAACCCCATATGGCTGTTCAGCTGTGTAAGTGGGTCGTGTGGGTTTTGCCCCGTTTGCATCGTTGGCAAGGGCTGTGGCGTCGAGTTGGAGGTGGAGAGGAAGAGTGAAGCGG